TCTATCTATCTATCTATCTACACACACTCTCTCTCTCTCTATCTATGAATCTATATGAATCTATGACTCTATGAATCTTTCTATCTATCTATCTATCTATCTATCTATCTACACACACTCTCTCTCTCTCTATCTATGAATCTATATGAATCTATGACTCTATGAATCTTTCTATCTATCTATCTATCTATCTATCTACCTACCTACCTACTCTCTCTATCTCTCTTTCTCTATCTATGAACCTATGAATCTATATGAATCTATGAATCTATATGAATATATGAATATTCTTTCTTTCTTTCTTTCTTTCTTTCTTTCTTTCTTTCTTTCTTTCTTTCTTTCTTTCTTTCTTTCTTTCTTTCTTTCTTTCTTTCTTTCTTTCTTTCTTTCTTTCTTTCTTTCTTTCTTTCTTTCTTTCTTTCTTTCTTTCTTTCTTTCTTTCTTTCTTTCTTTCTTTCTTTCTTTCTTTCTATCTATCTATCTACACACACTCTCTCTCTCTCTATGAATCTATATGAATCTATGACTCTATGAATCTTTCTATCTATCTATCTATCTATCTATCTACCTACCTACCTACTCTCTCTATCTCTCTTTCTCTATCTATGAACCTATGAATCTATATGAATCTATGAATTTTTCTATCTTTCTTTCTTTCTCTTTCTTTCTTTCTTTCTTTTTTTCTTTCTATCTACACTCTCTCTCTCTCTCTCTATCTATGAATCTATATGAATCTATGACTCTATGAATCTTTCTATCTATCTATCTATCTATCTATCTACCTACCTACCTACTCTCTCTATCTCTCTTTCTCTATCTATGAACCTATGAATCTAAGAATTTTTCTATCTTTCTTTCTTTCTTTCTTTCTATCTACACAATTTCTCTCTCTCTCTATCTATGAATCTATATGAATCTATGACTCTATGAATCTTTCTATCTATCTATCTATCTATGAATCTATCTATGAATCTATCTATCTATCTATCTATCTATGAATCTATCTATGAATCTATCTATCTATCTATCTATCTATCTATCTATGAATCTAACTATGAATCTATCTATCTATCTATCTATCTATCTATCGTTATATAGCACAGGACAGGAAAGCCCTGCATTGTCTTAGCTGAAATTCACTGATCCATCATGTGGAAACCAGCCGAAAACAACAGTGTGCAGAACTCAAATGAGCTCCAGACCACAGCTCAGACTGCAATTCAATCAATACACAGCAGGAAAAGACCTTAGCATCTTTACCCTTAAGAGCTAAGAGGGAACTATTTGAACCATTATTACCAGTCAGGCATATTTCAGCTGACTTCATGTATATCAGTTGCTTTATATCATTACAAAGAGCAAGGTTCAAACCAGAAGTGGCTGAACATTATTGTAAGCTTTTTTCATTGCATCATTTCACAGAAACACGTAGTTCCTATTATACAGAGAACAGTGGGATATCAAATGTAATGTCTTTGTTTATGTGTGGCAGAAAGTGAAAAGGTCTGTGTTTAGTAGTCTTGGCATGCAGGAAATAATTGATAGACTATTATCAACAGTGAAACAAGTAGTAAGAATTTCTCATGGTGTCAAACTAAGTACAGTAATATTACAGAAGTTAATATGATACACACTGAATGTCTCATGAAGAAGAAAAATAGCTTGCAGTAAACGACCAACCAGCATTTTAGCACTTTAGGTGCCAGTAAAAATCCATTAGATTTCCTCAGATTGGCCACTACAGCACCACAAAGGTTGATGGATTTACCCACAATGCTAAGTGAAGAGTCTGGAAGTAGATTTATGAAGTGCAGCGATAGAGTGTAATCTAGCACATCAGACAACACTACAGCACACAAGGGAAAATACATGAGCCAAGAATTACACCTGCTGAGGAGGGCATCTATCTATCGATCTACACTCTTACCGCCATGCATTTCAGACATGCTGCCAGCAGCTACTGACTGCCGGCCATTTACAATATTCAAAGAAACCTATATTTTACTTGAAAGGAGTGTTCATGGACGTCAAGCACACAAACCACCCACAGTCACAGATGATTCTGTTCTGAGGGGGGCACTGAGTTTGGAAATGTAATAGTGGTAAAATCCAAAGATAAACATGGATGGTGTTTCCCCTGATATCTGTTTATAGACGGCCTCTCTCTCTCTGCCAGTCATTATGGATCATTTTAACACAGATACTTTTGGTGGAAGTAAGGAGAAGTTATGGGTTCCTATATACATGAGGCATATATATAGGAACCCTTATATATAGGAACCCTTCGCCACAGGTATGGATGTGCTATCATGGTGCTTTCAATCAAGTCCTTTTAACCCATTTAGACTAACTTAGTACACACACTTTGTTACTGTACTTAAATACAGTAGCCTACATTTATACTTCACTCAAGTATAAATGTTGTTGACTTTTACATTTTTTTAAATGATACTTTTAGTTCAATACTTTTCTCCAAAACAGGAAAAAAAAGCAATTTTAAAAATCATGAACTGACAAAACTTAATTGATCCTAGTAAATATCCCTATTTCAACACCACTGCTGTGCATCTGCAGCCACTTTGTATTACCACAGAAATATTGCTAAAACACAGTATTAAAGCATACCGATGACTAATTTTAAAATTTCTGTTGAAATAAGACACATTTTCCAGAACTCTGAAGAGCAGAACCACTAAATAGCACCTCCTTGTCATAGATGTCATCTTCAGCAAAGCATGACTAAGAGCTATTTTGTAATCAAATTCATGAGGCCATTTGCAAGAAGACAGGCCTCACTGCTGAATAACAAAGAGTGGGGAGAGGCGCATGGATCTGGAAAGCACAGCAGGAGAGTGGCTGTTCCCCATGCACGGCCCATCTCCACGACATTAATCAGAGAGATTGATTCCCCACCGCTCTCAGATGAAGTGTTCCTCTACAACAGCAATAACTGCACTCTGAGAAGCCAAACTCATTAAAGAAAGTGCAGGTGTATCCATGCCACAATCACCTGAGAAGTAATAAATGACATAGCAGTGGAGGTTATTTTTTTTATTATAATAAAGCTTTGCACTTTCTTTACTAAAGCGTTTTATTCCATCATCTTATTTAGCTTCCTATAAGTTAAAATAATGTTTGTATTTATACTATACTATTCATTTTGTATTTCTTTTATTTAATGCATCTAAATACAATAAAATCTAAATATATATAAAAAATGTCTGGTACATATATTACATACAGTGTATTTAAATACATTATTACATTTTATTTACAATATATTATCTATATGCACAATTTATTATTTATAAATAACATCATTATAATTATTTATAACTATATATAATACAATGTAATTAAGTAATATTGTTATTAGATAATTAATAATTAATAAAAATATAATATTAAATATTAAAATCCAATATTGTATTTATCATACTGTATATAATTTAACTAAATACATAACATAAAATAAACAGGTGGGGTATATAATATTACAACGTAATGTAGCTATTAAAATTATGCATTTAAATATTATATATGTGTATTATTTAAATACATTATTATATATTATTTCCCATATATTACTTATATGTTTTTATAACAATATATAAAATAATTCAATAATATTATTGTTATTATTTAATTTAATATAAATAAATTATATATAATATAATATAATATAATATAATATAATATAATATTACATTGATTTTTTTTTCTCAATATTGCATTTATTATATATAATGTATCTAGATGCATTATATGCGCTAAAAAGGTGGGGTATATCATATTACATACAATGTATTTAAATAATATATTTAAATATTATAAATATATACTATTTAAATACATTAATAAACATTATTTACAATATGTTATTTATGTATGACATATGATTATTATTATATGATTATTGTTTTTGTTATTACATAATTTTACTAAAATAAATTACATATGTTTAATTTTATTTTTTCATGTTCGTAATTGTGTTCTCTGAGAAACCAAATATAAATAATGTTCTGGTTTTTTTATATTTTATACAGTTTATATATTTTATAAAGCATCAATCTTTACCGTTCAATGTTAAGTGTTTTATGAGCTAGAAAAACACTCAGGGTCTTTTAGACCCCATAAAGAACATGAGGCTTAATAAAAAGTACCAGCTTTCTAAAATGTTTTAAAAGGCCTGTTCTCTTCATTTTCTAACACATGAAACCAGTACAAAAACAGATGACCTTTCTGTAGCACCAACCCAGTGGTGCATCGCAGATAGAGTTCAAATTTCTTCTAAAAGGGACACCAGTGACTCAGAGATAAAGTAAAATATCTGTGTGCAACCAGTTCTTCGTCCTGACTTGTTATATCACAGGGATGAAAAGGGTTGTATATAAAGTTTGGTCGTTTTTGACAGAACTATTCACTCTATTCACTCTCCAAAACCACAGATAACAGAGCAGTACAGATCTGCCTCATGCATTTTCAGTAAAAATAAGAGTGCTGGATCTGTGTCAAACCCATTGCATAACTTATTGCATTATAGTTTAGATCTCAATAAAGCTGGCAGGACATAGAATGTGGTGAGTCACGGGTCTCAAACCGTTCCAACAGAAAGCACAGCGATGTGAACAGTAGACAGAAGACGTCAAGACAGAGATGCCAAAAAGAACGCACAACGGTTGCCACGGTACTCAGTTTTACTGCGCCTGGAAAGGTCAAAAACCTAAGCAAACCAGTATTTCATTCTAACCTTTACCCAATTCCACACATTCCAGAAAGCATGTTGCTCACAGCCATAAGTGATGCAGCTTATGTGTGCCGAAGATGAAAATACAAATGATTTATATCACGTGAAGGCTGTGAAAATGCATTGTAATGGATCATTCTGCATGCAAAATGTGCATGCCATGGACAAGACATGGACAAACCTCTCTTGAGCAGATGGTCTTACAATAAGTTCAAACATGACTCAAGCTATGGAGGTTAAGTGAACATGGTGACGACAGAATACTTAAAGTACTACAAAATCCCCTTATCTTTCCCTGAACTCTTCCAGCAGGGTTGCCAATATACGTTGAGGACTAATAAAAGCATGTGTGGATAGTCAGACTGAGCAAACAGCGTGTGGAGAATGAGGAAGGGCTGCATAGAAACAGGATTAGCAGCACTCTTGGGTCGCATTGACCAGGAATAGAAGTGTAACACTATACACACACTCATGCCCCTGCCAACATGCAAGAGAAAACCTCTCTGCAAGATCTGCACCGGTTTATTGTGGGTTATGCATCCTGTATATACACATATTATGATGATATTTTATGTATGTTAGTGTATTTATACTTGCCTTGCTCCTATCATTCATGTGTAACTGGTTTGTTTTAGGATTTATTTTAAAGAAGTCTCACATGCTCACTAAGGCTGCATTTATTTGATTAAAATTGCTGTAAAAAAGTAATATTATTACAATTTAAAATAACTCTTTTCTATTTGAATATATTTAGAAATTTTAATTATTCCTGTGATGCAAAGCTGATGTTTTTCCCCATCTTCAGTGTCACATGATCCTTTAGAAATCATTTTTAATATGCTGATTTAATTTTTTTGAAAAAAAAAAAATGTTGAAAATAGTTGTGCTGCTTAATATTTTTGATAAAACCGTGATTTTACAAGATTCGTTGATGAATAGAAAGTTCAAAAGAGGAGTATATTTTTTAAATAGAAATCTTTTATTACATCATAAATGTCTTTACTGCAACTTTTAATCAATTTAATGCATCCTTGCTGAAAAAGGGTATACATTTCTGTCGAAACCTATAACATGGTAATACTAGAGTAAAGTGAACTTTCATAACAGAGCTTGTGTCTGAGAAAAATCTGTTGCTTTAAAATATCTTTTTTGAATAACAATAAAGGCTGCTGAAAATTACATTGAAATTCATTTAAATTACATTACATTTGAATTAGTATTAATGATTTTACTGTATTTTTGATCAAATAAATGCCGTCTTGTTGAACACAAGAGAATTCTTTCAAAAACATTAACAATCCTTTGAACAGTAATGAATGTAAAAGTTAAACAGACAAAACTGCCTGGGTTTTCATCGACTGCTAACTTCACCGGAGTACTTTTGCAACCAGAAACTTAAAATATAATTTTTGAATATTCACACCAAAACAAATGTATTATGTCCTCATACACTTACTTTTAATTCCAAACGATCAACTTCCCATTCCATCTGTAGGCAACATCCTATCTGTCCCTTTAAATGGGAAAGCACATGGTTTTATACTACAGCTGTAGCATGCAGAGACTGACTTGCTTTGTCGTACTAATTCCTTTGTTCATAGAGTATCCATCAGTTATTCCCCATGCTTTAACGGATTTCTTTATCGTTAACTTGAAATAAGCGTCCACCGTACGCAGTCGTAGTGAGGAGGCTCCCACTATAAACCATATATCTCCAGTCACAGAAATATAATCCTGTCCAGCGAATGGCAACCCAGAGGTGCTGTATTGTATCCCAGCACGTCTGAAGTCATTGAACCCCTGCACGCTCTCGTAGTGATGGGTGGTAAAGTTGAACAGCTGTCTCCGTCACTGGTGCAACTAATTTCCCTCTCAGATAAGGGTTGGGGAAAGGAGGAGGCGTAATTGCTCACCCCCTGAGTCAGAGCCTCCAATCTCTGCAACGGGGGTTCTGTTTCAGTTTTTTGCATTTAACATTCTTTCCACAGGTTCCTGCTCTTTTATGACTCTACACATAAGCTATGAGATAATAAAAAATCATGGGTTGGGCTAAATGAGGCTCTTAATCTGAACAGCAAACTGAATATTTCAGAGCAACGTATCGAACAATAGTGAAACACTAGAAGCTGGCACAATGAAGATGACCCAAAACACACCCCTCCCCCCAACCTGTTTAGTCAAATTGTTCCCTCAGACAAAAGACACAGAGGAGGGGCGGGCTTTCCTTCAGTTTGGGTGCATTGATTCCCTTTCATAAGAGATTTTACACTTAAGAATCATGTCTGAATTTGAATATGGCTGATGCTGCAGAAAACAATGACTGAAATTCCTGGCTGTATTTGATTTGGATGACGATCTGAAGGATTGGACTTCTGTGAATGAACGAAAGGTACAATGTGGTTGTTTACCTTGAGACAGGCGCACAGGTTTGGTGACCGGTAGTCCGTCCATGCTACACTGGTTTCCACAGGGGTGCAGCGTGATGAGTCCTGCCTTGTTTTCAATGAAGCAGTGCTGAGCTGCGATCCCTGGGCCCTGGATGTTGATGTCCATGGCTCCGTGACCCAGAGTGGTCTTGCCTAAAACAAACAACCCCCACAGGATGTTGATTTCAAAGATTGTTTGCTCTCAGACAACATGTCCTAAGTTTCTGGTTGCAAAAGTACTCAGGTGAAGTTAGCAGTCAATGAAAACCCAGGCAGTTTTGTCTGTTTAACTTTTACATTCATTACTGTTCAAAGGATTATTAATGTTTTTGAAAGAATTCTCTTATGTTCAACAAGACTGCATTTATTTGATCAAAAATGCAGTAAAATCATTAATACTAATTCAAATATAATATAATTTAAATTAATTTGAATGTAATTTTCAGCAGCCTTTATTGTTATTCAAAAAAGCAACAGATTTTTCTCAGACACAAGCTCTCTGTTATGAAAGTTCACTTTACTGTAGTATTACCATGTTATAGTTTTTGAAAGAAATGTATTCCTTTTTTCAGCAAGGATGCAATAAATTGATTAAAAGTTGCAGTAAAGACATTTATGATGCTTTTTTTTTCCAGGATTCTTTGGCGAATAAAAAAGTTCAACGGAACAGCATTTATTTGAAATAGACATTTTTTCTAACATTATAAATATGCCTTTACTGTCACTTTTGATCAATTTATTGCAAAAGTATACTGATTAGTGCATTGCATAAGTATTTTAAAGTTACTGACCCCAACATTCTTGCCCCTAATAAATGTTTATTTTTAATTACAATTTTCATTTTTCAGATAAAATTATTAGTGAAGATATTAGCTTGATATTAATACGAGACATGTGATGTGTGATCAAAAGGTCAATTTTGATGCATAATTTCTAGTCAAGTTGTGGTTCTGTCAAATTATGCACCAAAAAATAAAGCTGTAAAAAATATTATTTTATTGTGCATATATTGGATATATAAATTAGCCATAGTAAGAAAACAAAGTCAGCCATTTCCCCCCCCCCCAAAAAAAATTGTAAAATGTATAATAGTCACTTTACCTTAAACATAAACTATATAATTTGATGATGGACAAAATTACAACAACAACAACAACAAAAAACTACAGCTAAAAATAAAATAAAATAAAATAAAATAATACACTGTTGGACGTTGCAAGTGGACAAACTTTACAAACAGATGTAACATCAAAAGATATCATCTTTCAGTGTGTGATGCATAATCTTAAATTAAACTGAGCTAATTCAGCGATGTTGGCCTGCTTTTTGTCAGTGAGAAGAACCACATTCCTCACCCCGCTTCCCCATCTGCCCCCGTCCACCCTTATCTGTTATCAGGCACGGGATAAAAGCCTGTGACCTGAGAGGAATCACACAAGCTAGCATATCAGTTTATAATACTAATACAGTACACAGTGACTAATACAAACTAAATAAGCATTCAAAACCTCTTCTCCCATGCCCTTTTCATAAGGTAATTTCTCAAAACCTTCATGATAATTCCATGTGTCTCCGAGGAATTCAGACAGATAGACACTGATAAAAGAGACACTGGTATGAATGGCTGGTCAGTGTCAGAGAAAGTAAGTAGGTGGAGATGAAGGTGGGTGGTTAATGAAGGAAGGGGCTTCTCTAATTATGAGAGGGTGTTTTTAAAGACCCCATAGTGCTTAAGGCTCAGTCGGGTTGCTGGCTTTACAATCCCAGCACAGAGGTGACACAGTGAATTTGACCATCTGTGTATATTGGTATTATAAAGATTTGTGTTTCTTCCCATACAATAGCAATATTGGACCATATTTTCAGAACTTTCCACTTTTTTTCCCCAAAGTTTGTAAAGATGGAGATGTAACACCACAAACCTTTTGAAAAAGTCCACTGAAGTCTAAATATAATCTAAATATATAATCATCTAATAATAATCTTACCTTCAGGCAGGGGTAAGAGGGTGATGGCTGTACTGAGACGGCCACTTCCTAGACTGACCAAATGCGGGCACTCTGCTTGGACCTTCAGGGCTTTCCCAGTCTCAATCAAATCCAGTGGAGTGCTCTAAAAAAAGAATAGTATTCACTCAAGCGTGAAAAAAGTCATCATGTTCCCATCCTCACATTTTTTTTACATCAATATTTACTTTGGCGTCATATAGTGACCTAATGTTTTTCTAATACTATATATTCAGATATACTACTCTTTTTGAGTATTGTTTTTTGCATAGTATATAGGGAAATAGGCATTTTTGGACACAGCATTTCTCCATTGCATGGAACCCAAAAGGAGTTATTTAGAAGAATGTCCAGGCTGCTCTTTTCCATAGAATGAATGTGAATGGTGACCACAGTGGTCAAGCAAGACTTTTAAAGATTTTATTTTCATTGAATGTTGACTTAAATTTTAGTGACACAAAGCTACTATGGCCTCAGAGGACGTATTTTCTCTGTTCCCCATCCATTTTTATTGTATGGGAGAGAGCAGCATGAACGCTCTTCAAAACATCTGCTTTTATCATACACAGAAGAAAGAAAGTCATACAGGTTTGGAATGACATGAAGGTGAGTAAATGATACAGAAACGTTTTTAACTTTTATATAACGAGGGGGCCTCAGCAACCTTTCTAGGGGGGCCTAATATGACTTAAAATAACTTTGCTTTTGAACATTCTATTGACAATAAGTAAAACTGCACCTACAGTACATGTCTACTAACTCTCATTAGAGTATTAGTAGACTGTCTAATTAATATCTGCTAACTCTTTATTGTGATGGTCTCCAAACAGACATTCTACTTACGTCAACTTATTCTAACCCTAACCCTACCAGTCTACTAATACTCTACCAACACTCTATTGAGAGCTAATAAATATGTGTAGGTGCAACGTTACTTATAGTCAACAGAATGTGTTAAAGGGACCATCAAAATAAAGTGTAACCAAATAATCTGAATGAATGAATGAATGAATGAATAAATAAATAGGTAAAACTTAATGGGCATTTTTATAATAAATATATATTTTTCTAGTTAATCTATTCTAAACTCTAAAATATTTTATTAGGTTGAAATTATGACAAAAAATAAAAAATCCCAATCCTTAAAGGGATAGTTAACCCAAAAATGAAAATTCTGTCAATAATTACTCACCCTCATTTCATTCCAAACTCGTAAGACCTTCGTACATCTTCAGAACACAAATTAAGATATTTTTCATGAAATCCGAGAGCTTTCTGACCCTCCATAGACAGCAACGCAACTACCACGTTGAAGGCCCAGAATGGTAGTAAGGACATCATTAAAATAGTCCATGTGACATCAGTGGTTCGACCTGAATTTTATGAAGCTACAAGAATATTTTTTATGTGTTGTGGCACTGTCATGAATGTACATTGAAGACTGACATGGAAGAGAAGTCGTTATTTTCGTTTTCTTTGTGTACAAAAAGTATTCTTGTAGCTTCATAAAATTAAGTTTGAACCACTGATGTCTCATGGACTATTTTAACTATGTTCTTACTATGTTTCTGGGCCTTGAACGTGTCAGTTGCGTTGCTGTCTATGCAGGGTCCGAAAGCTCTTGGATTTCATCAAAAATATCTTAAAGGGGTCATATGACGTTGCTAAAAATAATAACATTTGGGCGGCGTTATGCAAATTTTCCCAGATCGTGACGTAGGTATGTGGGGGCGTGTTAGAACGAGCCGTTTTAGGTAGGCGTGGTTGACTCTTAACTTTTATAAAGAATATCTCTTTGGATTTGAGACTTTAGTCTTTGCAACTTTACAGATCTTCTTTATGCACCAAGAGCTTGTAACACTCCAAAGAGAAAGGAAAAATTGAAATCAGATCATATGACCCCTTTAATTTGTGTTCTGAAGATGAACAAATATCTTACGGGTTTGGAACGACATGAGGTTGAGTAATTAATGACAGTTTTCATTTTTGGGTGAACTATCCCTTTAATCATTAACCAGCAAATCACAAACATCTAGAAAACTCAGAATATTATTAGGCCTCTCAGCTCCAAAAAGTTGAGAACCACTGCTTTAAATGTCTGTCTGATCTAAGAAGCAAAAGCCAATTGTGCTGCTGAAATACATCATACACATAGTGAGTCAACTCATACGTCAGCTAAAATTGCCCACGATGATTTAATATTTCATAACAAGAAGTTCCAAAGTAGTGATTCAAGCTGAGCTCTAGGCAGGCGGTTGAGTGCGCATCTTACTATTCTCTTCAACCCTAGTGAGAGAAGTGCCTTCAGTCACATCTTGAGAGTAGACCTCTGTGGAAACTTAAAGGCTCAGCATGGGGGAGGTTGTCATGGCAACAATGTGAAATGGTAATGACTGGGAGGGGAAAACTGTACCCTGTAATTCCGCTATCATGCAATGACATCATTTTTCAACTAGAAATTAGCTGAATCCATCAGCTTATTTGGCTAGTAAATTCTGTTCAAGGCACAATCATGATGATATGTAAATGTGCACAGGATTCCATTTTGCACAAGCTTATTGCAATATAGGCATATTATTTTTAACCGTACAGCTGCCTTCCAGTTAATTGCTGTTCACCCACCTTCCCAAACATCCACTAAAGACATATTATCACCTCAGGGCTGTGGTATACGGTTGGGTTTAGGATAAACCTGACTGCTTAAACAAGATTAGCAGGAGGCAATTAGTGTATCAGTTAAAGCAGAGCTTACGGGATGTGAGTGAGAGATGATCATTGTTGTTTTATAAAGAAATCATCAACACATCTGCCATAGATTATCTACTACTACAGTGAGAAATCCACATAGATGTGGAAGCCATGTTGAAGCAGAAGGTGATCATGGTAATGATGCCCCAGAGGGTGTGTTTCACACTTTGCCTGTCACCTCGTATCATGAACACTCAACCTTGACTGTCAGACAAAAGCGCGTCGCGCACTGAAGCTGTGTTGAACAAAGGTGTTGCTATCAGAACTGGATTTACCCTCTGACTGTCATGCAAATTGTAAAAAAATAGTAATTAGGGGGGAAAAAGAAAGTACCTTTCTACCTCTATGAGCTTCTATCTCTTTTTTGCTCATATTTTTTTGCTTATTAAATAAATAAAATGATTCAAATAATTATTAAATAAATTAAATTTAAATTAAATTTAAATTATGAATAGAAAAAAACTAATCATATTATTTACTGTATCATGCACACACACACACACGGTCGCCGTGATTTTGCCAAGTAAGACATGTTCCTGGATCAACATAACTGTCCAAAAATATAGACTTAACCCAATCCCTACCCCTAAACCTAACCCTACGCATAATTCATTCCTAAAATCAGTGGGAAATGATAGTTGATTAACAATTGTAAGTCGCTTCGGATAAAAGTGTCTGCAAAATGACTAAATGTAAATGTAAATGTAACAAGGGTGTTGAAGCATCTAACCCTGATCGTAAACCTAAAACAGATATTTCCTGAAAAGTTATCCCTCAATTCTGATTGGTTGATAGGAATGTTGTTCCAGGATCAACAAGGATGTTGTAGGGACATGTTGTACTTGTTGTATGTTGTACTTGATGAAATCACGTTCACACACACACACACACCTACATATATATACATAGCCTTTCAAAAGTTTGGGATCAGTTAGGTTTTTAATGTTTTCAAAGAAGCCTCTCTCATGCTCAAGGCTTTATTTATTTGATCAAAAATACAGAAAAAATTTACATTTACATTTACATTTATTCATTTAGCAGACGCTTTATCCAAAGCGACTTGCAATTGGGGAATACATCAAGCGATTCATCTTAAAGAGGCAAATAGACACAGGAAGACGCTCATAATACCAAGTTTCAAGCATTGTTCAAATAAGTACAAGCTAGACAGGGAAAGGTTAAAGAAAAGAGAATAAATAAATATTTATTATATATATATAAGGATGAATATATATATATATTAGGATGAAGTCCTAAAAAATATTGTGATATTAAAAAACAATGTCATATTGTGAAATAATATTGCAATTTAAAATAATGTTTTTTTTATATATATACTTTAAAATATAACTTATTTCTCTGAAGCAAAGAAGACTTTTCATCAGCTATTGCTCCAGTCTTCGGTGTCACATGATCCTTCAGAAATCATTTTAATATGCTGTCTTATTATCAGTGTTTATTATCACTGATTTGTTATCAGTATATAGTCATATATATACATATATATATATATGAATGAACCTGTGATACTTTTCTTCAGGATTCTTTGGTGAATAAAATGTTACAAAGAACAGCATTTATTCAAAATATACATATTTTCTAACAATATATCACATCACTTTTTTATCAATTTAAAACTTGGAAAAAAAAATACTGACCCCAAACTTCTGAACAGTAGTGTATATTGTTATCAAAGATTTTAACATTATAAATGCTTTATTGTCTCTTTTGAAATATGTAAATGCCTACACGTATTTTATTTTTACAGTTGTATATACAGTACATAATGCACAAATCTGTACATAAGTGTTCAGTTCCAGATGTATACCACATTATTAGTAGTGGTAGTAGTAGTAGTAGTAGTAGTATTACTTACATATTCCCATGTCAAATATGTATGTGTATGTGTATGTACCAAGAGTTCCTGAAAAACCACAACAAATTCCCTTTGTGTTTTCGCACACTTGGCGACTAAAAGCTCATTCTGATTCTGATCAATGTAATGCTCCCTTGCTTAATAAAAGTGTTATGTATTATTTTCCTGATAAACAACCCAACAAACAACGCTATATACATAAAATGTTGTCACATGTGGTAATTCAAGTTTGATCTCACCTGGAACACTTGATGAGACTGATGTCCACTGGTAAGATTTTGGTTCAAACTATCCATGACCAGCGTGTTTTCACTTACTCGCTCAGGGACATGAGAATCCTGCCAGAGACAAAAACAGTGTTGAAACAACCTTATAAATCTTATAAAATGAATTAAGCTTATAATATCCACCAATATCTTTTACTCAGCTTTGTTAGTAAATTCTTATTTATACAACAGCTCAAACATTCTGCAATATAACTTTATTTGTGCTAAATGAAATATGTTCATACAGGTTTGGACCAACTTGAGGTGAGTAAATGACGACAGTTTTTCATTTTGTGGCTAAACTATCCATTTTTAGGGATATTGTACATACTTACATAAGTTTATATATTCTCTTTAACTGTCTTTTCTACTGTAGACGACAACTAAGCCGGTCAAGTGTCTACAGTACAGACAATAGTGCGAGTGGGAGAAATGCAGCCTCCGGCATTCCCCGTCTGCATCCTTAGCTGACTCACTGCCCCGATGAATAGAGTCTGCACTCACACAAATGGCATTTGCAAACAGATAACGCTGATTTACCCTGTCGGCCCAGCTTACATGACTCTCACCGGCCATGAGCTGCCTTTTCCTCTGACACACACAGACAGACCTTCCTGCCCTGACATTCCTGTGCTCTTGCTCAATGTGCTGTCTGAGTTCAACCACAGCACAATGTATACAGTCACTGTACATTTACCTGTTAGCTAGTCACATACAGAATTGTGTCATGCACACGGTCACACTTTATTTTAAGGTCCAATTCACAAACCATTAACAAAAACTTTTGCCTCAAACTCCTATTTGCTGCTTATTGATGGTTAGTAAGGTAGTTGTTAAGTTTAGGTATTGGGTAGGATTAGGGATGTAGAATATTGCCAATTGGCCATGCAGAATATGTGCTTTATAAGTACTAATTAATAGCCAATATGTTAATAATAGGCATAATAAAGCAACTAGTTAATAGTGAGAATTGGTCCCTATACTAAACTGTTATCTCTCATAAAATAAAGAATCTTTTAACATCCACAGACCCTTTCCATTGCACAAAAGGTTCTTTACTTTATGTATTTTTTATTTTTAGATTATTAAATGTTATTCTCACTAAGAAAAACTGTTTTTTTAAGAACTCAAATGTTCTTTGGGGAACCAATTTTGTTTTATTTTTTATTTGTTTCTATGGAATCACTGCGAAGGGGCTTTTATTTGGAATCACTTTAGGGGCTTTTATTTTTGACACCAAGGGCGCGAGCCTACTAAATCAGTTGCTGTCTACAATGGATGCGGCGCGACGCGAAACGACAAATCTCCGACAGTAAACCGCTGTCTCGTTCTATTTATGACGTACTGACACAAAGTTCAAATGATTCGCAACGGTCGCCTTTCCACTGCACACGACATTCGGACACGACTGTCGCATTTCTCCCCCTAATGGCAGTCGCACAGAACTTTCAAACTGGTCATGCAGCAACCGTTACCTCGCCATATTCATATAATTAATGTATGAATGTGTCGTCACAAAACAAATGACCCCTCAAATAAAAAACATAGTAGGTTTTATGGGGCTAATCAACGTAAATGATGATTTAATAATTATAGAATAATTATTTCTGACATAATTATTTTAAAGCAGCATTTTACAGAAATAGTATTTAAAGAATAATGTTAAAGTGAACAAAATATTGGTAATTCTAACCTTACACTCATAGTTTTTAATAGAATACATCACATCCGGTCGGGCGATTGCATACTGTCTAGCCGCAGAAGTTCAAATATTTTAGCGCATCCACAGCTCAAATCGGAGTGCATACGCATATGATCGGAACTCCGCGCAGCTCCCGCACTACTCTCCATTTGAAATGAATGACTTCCGTTCTGTCGCTTGTCGTTCGTCGGAGATAGTGGAAAGGCGACTTCAATCTGTTGCGACGCGACGCGACGGGACAACTGTCGCGTCCGGTATAGATGCGGAGTGTATTGTAACTTTTGCAGCCTCAAATCTAGAAACAGGCTTGTGGTTAAATGAATTCAATGAAACCCAAACCTATAACTGCATAATCTGAGGTAGGCTAATTACTTGAATTACTTTGTGAGATTCAATGATAGCACCTGTATGAGATTGGAGAAGAAGACTGAAGAGTTTAAATTGCTTGGCACTGAATTAAATTTCACACAAATCTAACCTTTTGATATTTGAAACCACTTCACCTGAACAAACTTACCCTTGCACTTGCATTTACTTACCTAAATTGCCTGCACATTAAATTCTGATGAGGTTTTTAAAATGTAACAACCAGTAAAGAGAGCATTTATCCATCAAGAAATTAAAAAATGAGATAAGCAACAACTGGCTTGCTATTTAAAATGTGAAATAGGAAACAAATTATACACATTTACCTTATTCCAGTTGTCCAACAAGCACAACGCCTCCATTTCTAAGCATTAAATATAGTTTATACTGCTATATCAAAGTCCCTGATGTCTTACTTGGTTATTTTCTGCCTCTCTCCCTCTACATCTTCATTTAGAGGATACATGTTCCTATTCAAAACAGCACGGACCTGCCTGTACTTGCTGCTTTGAGCTAAACTCCACATTCCTGCCTGTCGGCTACAGCCCTGATAACAGATGTTAGTGCGCTGGTCAATAAAAGGATGGAGCTTCATAAAAGAGAAAAGAAAGACGACGAATTACAGTGAAGAGAGGAAGTTTAACAAGTTGAAGCAAACACAAGAGGGTAATAATGGAAGTACAGTATATGTAGGGCATCTGGGAAACATACAAAGACTGACTATGAGAGGCAGACAGACAGAAGATCCGACAGATTGAGATTGGGTTTGATCACAGTCCAAAACTCTGTTATTGCCACATGCCTCTTAACTCATCAAAGCCGATTTGCACGATCTAAGAGGCAATGAGTCACATTTCCCTACTAGTGTCTTTATCTGGAGTTTGATTCTGTTCCAAATTGCACATGAGTGATTCTATAATTGCAGGTACATTTGGTGTCCGAAGTCATTATTTTTTTCTGCTTTTTTCAAATGGTTATATTTTTAATTATTTGAATACTGTGTTACTCATTGTTATGTCAATTCTGTTACTGTCAAACTCTGTTACCAAGGTAGAGTAACAATGCTGACAATGCGGTAACAGAATTGACAGTCCATCGGAGACAATTGTCAATTCTGTTACTTTACAATTCTGTTACTTAAAGGGTCAACTCTGTTTATGAACTATTTTCACAAAAACAATAAATTTGTTGTTTAAAATCCTAATAAACATTATTGTTTTATTTTTGCACCCTTATAATATTTCAACAACATTTCTTTTTTTAACGGGATATTGTATATAATACATTTTCAGATGAAAAATATTTGCTCCAAGTGGACGGTTCTGTGAAGACATAGGTATTTTTTTTGTTTTAAAAGGTATGCATAGGTGAAATATTATCTCAGTTTCAAGTGATGGAATGTAAGGACTGTTTGTCTAATGAAACAAGAAGGATTTTTCCTGTTATGATTTATTGTTATTTCTACACATTGGCTAATTTGTCCGTAACAGAGTTGACAATCAATACCATAAAGACATCTGTTTTTTTATTAAAAGTAAAAAAAAGGAAGTAACTTATGTTTGGCAAGCACTGAATTATTAAAATTAAATATGTTTTCAATAAGATACTGAAAAAAAAATCTGTTAGTGAAAAGTTTTTTCCTTAACTTTCTGCAATGCTAAATGTATCTCCAATTATAGAATCACCCATATGCTCACACATGATCAGACCCAACAATGTGAGGGACAGCACATTTTTCCAGCATGCAGCATAAAGGCTGTTATTGTCTCTCTTCAGCGTGCTCGGATGGGAGAGACGCTCTCTGTGGATGCTGCACCCTGCCTGAAGAGCGCAATGGAAAAAGATGAAGAGATGTGGTGGAATGAAGGCATGCAGTCTGGTTAGCTGCTCACTGATTCCAAACTGTAGCTCATGTGTAACTAAGTGAAGAAACAAATCATGTGTTCAGAGCCACGCCTCTAAAGATTATTTTCCTATGATGCATAAGTGTATGTATTCCACAAGTGTATGTCTGTTTTCCAGTAAAAATATTAAAACATCCTTAAAAACCAGTTTACTTGAGAAGCAAAATTGCATAAGTCTTGGCATGTTTTACACAAAGAATACATCTTGAGTAATGTTATTTTATCTTATTTTTATATTATTATATTATATTACATAAATTTTATATTATATTATATTATATTTGACATTATTGTTTCTAATTTTTATCATCATCATCAAATTTATTGCGCTTTATTTTTAAAACAATTTAAAAAATGTCAATATGGTAAAAAAAAAAAACATAATTCAATATATATTCTATTGACATGTCAATGTAATATTTAATTATATTATATTATATTTGACATTATATTATATTATTGTTTCTAAGTTTTATCATCATCATCAAATTTATTGCGCTTTATTTTTTAAAACAATTAAAAAAATGTCAATATGGTAAAAAAAAAACATAATTCAATATATATTCTATTGATATGTCAATGTAATATTTTATTATATTATATTATATTATAGTTTATGCCTCATTTATTATTATTATTATTATTACACATCGTCATCAGATTTAAGCCATAAAATAATTTTTAAAATAGGGTAATAAAAATGAACTTATTTTAACCCCTTAACTGTCACTCACATTTTTTAACATAGACGTGAAAGTGCACTATCCAAACTTAAATTTTTATAATTCATGAATGAAAACATTTTGTAACATGATTTTGATGTACCATTTTCATGGTAATGCAATGTCTGATTTTAAAATGTTTTTTTTTAAAGTATGAATTTTCAGATTTTAAGTTTTCAATTGATATGTAATTTCTGATGATTTCTAAAGTGTGATAGAGAAAAAGGCAACGAAGAAGACTTTTTGTGACAAAGGTCAGAACTCCTGTTATGATGTAGATTTTTGAGTTGCATTCTTGTCATAAATTCATCTATTACTTTTCCTACATAATATTTAACAAAAAAACAGTGGTAAAATATCTATTTAGGAGCCTTAGAC